TTGAGTGTGAGAGCGAGGGGAGGTTCCATTAGTCTGTAACACAAATGTTCAACAGCGTACAACAAAAATGCACCTTTATGACGTTCTGAAGAAACATGAGATGAAAATTGCTCAGTGACGTGCAACTTTCCACACTAGTTGGAGGCACGCACGCTTATTCTGCCTGGCTACGGCGTGCTGGACAAGTGATCGAAAGTTGGCGTTGGCCTGGAGAGGCGTTATAATAGTCTCTGTCCGAGCACCCGGCATCTAAAACGCGAAAAATTGTGAAATAGAAGTCTAGAAGAGGGATATATGGGTGTAAGAGAGGGCGAGTGAAAAGGAGGGGAGATAGGTAGATGCACCTTTAAATGGGACACCTCTAATCATGTAGGCGTGGTGCGTGCATGGTATGGGCATGTTGCAGGAATGTGTGGAGACTTGCGCAATAAACCCACACTCCTTGATAGAAGAGACACACTCTGCAACGCATTGTCAGCGGGCCGCTCCGTGGAGCTTGTGATTGTACACGAAGACCGGAGATCTCATAGTAGTATGCCTTCCACCTCCAGAAACGACATCCCCGCGAGGATCCCTTTAACGGTACAGTACAGTGAAAGGTCACTGGTGAAGAGGGCCGCCATTGGGTAATCCGGCGTCTGTATGATTAAGTGATCGGTGCAAGTGAACGTACAGGGTAGACGAGTGCGACCAGAGCGGCTGGAACAATAATAAATACATACCCACTCGTTCTACAAAGAACTGAATCGCTGGAAACGATGCAGCTCGGGTCATGTTCCGGAGAATGCTCCACTACCTTCTAGTTACACATATAAACCGCGTTGCAGTCGTGCCTGCAAATTAAGCCGCATCGCCCTGGAAATGCTGCATATCGAGCGATCGAAATTGTTCTAAAGATCATTCTCAGAACGCAAAGTACATAGCTAAACTAGCCTCGAGGAAACGACCGTCTTCTCGTCGTTTTGATATTGGGGAGAGGGAAGGCATGAAAACATGAGGATGTTAGCTGGCTGATAATCGGGGAGCAGCTCACCGCGTGGTGAAGGTGACAGCGCTTGCGGTACACAAGTTTCTTGATTGTAAAGGCCTCGTTAATACGATGCATAGTCAGAATGTCAGCGGCAGTAGTCAAGACTAGATGCTGTACGCAAAGCACTGTGGCCTCCTTGAAGATCTTCCGCATGATCAGTGGACTAGTAAGGGCTCACTTTGGACGCGGGGATGAAAATGAAAGCCGTGCTTGTGACAGAATACTCGAGTGCCATTACGAGCATGTCGTTATTCAAGCTTAGGCGAGTTGACACGCCGCGAGGGATGAGGTTCACCTGAGATGGAAAGGCTGAAACATCAAGAAAGGTCAGAATTCCGACACTCCACTCCACTCTCTACTTTCATCCCCACAAACCAGCAGTATGTATCACTATGGACGTAAAATAAGTTGAAAGTCAACCGAAGTTGAAACACCTGTAAACATAATTTTACATCGGCAAAAGCGCACAACTCTGGGCTTGAAAAACTTCCGACTTACCAAATTGTCAATCGATCGATGTTTCGGGACCACCTCAAGCGCTGGTGACAAGCTGGGGATTGCAGTCAAAAGGAGCTGCAATCTTGGAGGCAGAGCTCGGAAGTGTCCACACTTCCGAGGGACGCAATAATCAAGATTTAGTCCCATGGAATGCGTGCAATCGGCCTGTGAAATGGAAAGTATTGCAGTAGTTCATCGAGACGGGGGCAAGGGTATACTCCGAACTGCACTTGCGACCGTGGCTTGAGGAATTACTTTTTACTTAGTCATCGAAGATCACCTCTCCGCGACCGTTCAAACCGAATGAATTCCTGAGCTCTCTCATGCTCACACCTACGAAGTGCCGAAATAAGCCAGCATTGGGCTCCACGCCACACCCCACGCGGCATAAGTAAAAGACGTATACGTATAAGGGCGAACTTCCGGCCGATCGTCTTTCCAGACCCTCTCCGAGACTACGATCTGCCGACTCCCTCTCACGATCCTCAATGGCTAGGATACGATCTTCTACTGTGTTTGCAATGACCAGCCGATGTACGAAGACGTCTTTCGGTTGTCCGAGACGGTGCACACGGTCGAACACCTGGCTCTCGACGACTCAGCTCCACGCAAGGTCCAAGGAGATGACACCTACACAGAGATCCCGGGAACGTGTTGATGTTGGTGGGCATCAGGTGGCAAGTTCTGATGTAGGGTGCTCACGGTTCACACGAGTAAGATTGAGCCCTACTCCTCCACATTTGAGCGACATGAGCATGGCCTTCGACTTCTTTTTTTGCCCTAAAGTGATGAGCAGCGAGATCGCGCTCAGTCCGTGTCTTCAAGTAGCCAGCGATTGTGAAGGTGAGTTAAAAAGAAACTCCTGGAGACCGACAAGACTGACTGACCTTGTCATCCGGATGCTTTTCGGCCCAATCCGTGAGGAGTTCCATCACGTGCTGCTTAGACCTATCAGTATCATTCACAGTAGCCAGCAAAATAACTACCAACTTACCTTCACCACGAGTGAACAACTTCGAGGTATTTTTCTTTCATTCCCAGAATGCGTCCATCTGACATCCTTCCAGACGCTGCTCTCACCTTTCCCTTGCCGGAGGAGGCCAGATTACCAGGTTCAACAGGGAGTATACCGAGAAGTGGAAGCGTGTCGGAGTGGTGTAACCGTAGGGTCGGTGGATCTTGATGAGCTGAAAATCGCCAAAGTGCGAAACAATATAAAGGAATTGGGAGTCGAGGTACGTTAGCGTCGTGGCTGGATAGGTCTATAAATTCGAGTTATGAGCGAGTACAAGAGCGATGAAATGAGCCGCGGTGACTCGAAATATACCTCGCCTAGAGGGACAAGGATCAACCCTTGGTCATGTAGCGAATCAAGGGAAAGCATAGCAAGCCGGCCGTATGCATCCCCTATGAGATGCTGCGTGCCTTCGTCATTCGTCTGACAGAATCGATCGGAGGGCAATGTATCGGTCATCAATGGTTGCCGGGAAAGAGTGTTACATACGGGGTGACTTTCCTCCATGGCCATGCACCACTAGCTATGGGCTTTGACTGCGGCTTTCCTCCCTTTCACTCTTTTGCGTCTGCTTTCGCCTTATACTTCCCGGATGTACTTCGCCTGCTTTCCTGCTTCCTCAACTTCTTGCGGTGTTTTCTTTGGAACTCTTTGCTTGTCAGCTCGAAGAGCAGTAACTTCTTCCCGCCTATGACCAGGAGTCTCCCGTTGAAGTCTGACGTGCGTTCCATGGCTTCGGGATTTAGGAGCTATAGAGGAGGAACATTAACGATAATAGGGAATTCTCCGGGACAGGGGCCATCTTAAAGACTTTGGGAGATATTGTGGCGGGAGTGAACATGAGGGACGGAGATGGAGAAAGCTCTTATTCCGAGATGTTGAGATCGCGGCGAAGAGGCTGAATACCTTGACGGTGATCGAGGTGCAGGATGGCAAGAGCTGATGGCTCTAGTGTGTCGATTGCTTGTTCTGGAGAGGATACCAGAGTGTCAGATAGGATGTTGAGTTCAGGGACACCAAGGCGGGCTTTAGTAGTCAACCGAGGGACATACTGGGAAGAGGAAGACGCACAAGACATAAAAGAAGTCCTTCAATAGGACATCGTTGATCATGAAGGCCTTGGCCCTGCCTGTGTAGCAGTGTGCGAGACCGACAGTGAGCGATGGAAGATGGTTGATGAAAGGTGGTGACAACCTTCATCTCGATGGTGAAGATGTCGTGGGTAACGTTGAGCAAGATTGGTCGGACGTCGTGTGGATTCATACAGACAAAGGAAAGAATGAAGAAAGGTTCGTATGCAAAATCGAAATATGATGTAATTGCACGCGCCTTGCTTTATCTCCGTCGCCACAGCTTCAAACTACTTGTGGCTCATGTGACGTTCGGTGCTATACAGCGAATCGAAAAAGATAAGATTGTCGCCGAGATGATGTTACCGTTCGCACAAGAAAAGAACTCGAATGAGAATTCAACCCGCTGTAGTCTTGTCGCGTCAGAGGGGTTGATACCGTAGGTCGAGGTTCGGCGATAAGCGCCACGTTATAGCCACGTTCTCACCATGTGTAGCGGGGAATAACAAACAAACGAGTTTGCTTGTACGGTCGCTCCTTTGCAAGAGTAGCCAAGGAGTTTGAGCTGCACCCGATAGGAGCGGGTCAAGAGAACTCTGAGTGTTGCGGCGATTTGCAGATTGGGTGGCCCAAGGGTAGATCGGGGTTGCCGGAAGGTCAGGTGTCGACCTATTTGATCCAGAAAAAACCACACGGGCCCCGGGTGTTCCGAAGAGTATCGCCGACGAGATGTTGACCATGGCGATGTGAAAACTGGGCTCGAGGATGAGCTCCAGCGTCGAGTGGCCCCTCCCTCTGACACAGGGCTGGCCGTATGGCTTGCCGGGGCACTTGAAGCTGCTGCAGCTCGCTGCGTGTTTGGCTGACCGCGCGAAACTTGTGAGGGATGCTCGCCTGTATTATCCATAGCGATGCGGAATACAGCTCTAACTACAGTAGTAGATTCTTGGGCAGACGCGACGCGTTGAAGCGGTTGAACAAATTTCCAATGGTGCCGCCGGTACTTACACGCGTTCTGGTTCGGCACACAGTGCCGAATTTCATTAGCCTTGTTCAGAGTGCTCATATCGAGCCCTCATAAACGCAGTATATGAGGATCGAGCTCATATCGAGCTCATTTACGAGCCTCGTATGCGAGCCTCAATATGCGAACTTTGAGCAAGGCTATTATACAGCCTTACTTCCGACATTGGTTCTCGAAGGCGCGTTCCGTAGCAGACTTTGACACGTTGAACGTCTATCTTCAACACCAAGGTCTGCCTGTGGGAGACCGCTCATATGGGGCTGTTTGACACGAAGAGTCTCCTAACAGATGTCGTCCCCTACAGGGACCAGGACGAAAAATCAACGGAGGCTACAGATGCTATGTGTAAGTCAGTCCGAGGTCATAGTCTCATCCTCACCCATCTTCTCCTCATCCACCTTCTCCTCAACACCCTCGTTGCCCTCACCAGCCTGCTCCTCATCCAGAGGGTCCTATAGATCAACCTCCTTCTCGGCAGTCTCCGTCTTCTCCAGAGCTCGAAGCTTTCGACGTACAGGGGCGTCAGCTGTATCTGGCCCCGGTATAATCTCTGCATACACCATCTAAGCACGATTCAACCCGATTGTTCGAGCAAACAACTTACCTTCTAAGAACAAAAACCCGTCTTCTCTACGCACCACCGAAGCTATAGTAATCAGTACCTTGACGATGAGTACGATCAAGAACAGTGCGATCGTGGACCCTCGTACCGATATCTTTCTGCTGTACTGTCACCCTGCTCTCCCTCTTCGCCACCTGATGAGATGCTTCCGCCAGCAGTTTGATGAACTTTTCTGTAGCTATTGATATAATCAACGCCGCCTCCTTTGACACTGTGGGTAGCTCCTAGACCATACAAGTTAGAGGTACAGCCAATGACATACAGAGTTGATCATGCACCTTGTCTGCCTTCAAAATCTTCTGTACACGTACAAGTGGCAATAGAGACTTCCCTGTCTCCCATTCGAGCTCAACCGGCTTCTTAGTCTTGCTTGCGGTTTTTTCGACGTCCTCCTCCGCTGGCGGTATAGGTGGGGCCGACTCGGTTGTTTGTTCTGGAGCTGTCGGGGCATTTTCTTCGGTGTGAGTGTCTACCTCCATTGTCGAGGAAATAGGTGCGGGTTTATATTTTCGGATAAAAGGTAACTAGGATAAGCACTATGAAAACAATGTGTGTAGTAGCAAGAAGACGCAGGATGCAGAATCCTGCAGAAACGAGGGAAAAGTGTCACACACGTGTCCGCGCGCCTCATGTCAAACGCGTCTGTGGCGCCAAAATCCACGTCTGGCTTGTTTCCAACCACCATCTACCTGATCGATTGTGTTACCCCAATGGTCTCGTCCCTCCTCGTTGAAGCTCTCAGCACGCTTACAGAGGCTCTGCTTGAGCTTTATAATGTCCAGTCAGCAGAAACCCACAATGATTTCCCGCAGTCGTAACGAAACATTTCTCGGACGTCTTCAAGGCTGAAGACGCGTTCCGTGAGATCGTCATATCTTGCTATCGTCATCACTATAAAGGTCTATGAAGGATATTATATCTTGCCTATCGTTTCCTACTTTATTGAGATATTCTCTATCATTACTTTAGGTACGACCGCTCGATGTCGGCCATCCACCCGAAAGCTTCTCGATCGCTCTTTGGTTCGATTCCGCTGCATGGTATAGGACATGTCCCCATCACTAGAAGATGCATCTTTCCAAGACCAAGTCTGGGACTTGTGCCGGTTGGTGGTTAGCCGCCATCACCTCCCCGAATGCCGATCTGAGAGATTGTTCGATTGTATGAGCCGTTAGTGTTCCCGGTGAAAGCACTTGGTGGAAGGAGGCGTTGGACAAGCATGAGCGCGTCACAGGTGCGTTGGGAAAGGCTGCCCACTCGAAAGTTTAACACCCAGTATATCAGTACCACTCACAGTAGCAACAAAAGAACTACCACTTACCTTCATCTTCGTGCTGGAGAGGAAGCGAGGCATCATCCCGATCTATTCCTTCGGGATATCCGTCGTGGCAGGCGACTGCCTACCGAACAGTACTTCACCGTCGTCGCTCTCCTCCGCCTCATCACTACTGTCATTGATGATCCCCATCTTCTTTCTCAAACGCTTAGTCACTGTCTGGCGACATTCTCATTCTCACTATCCTCGTCTGCATCAGCAATGAAGTCGCTATGACCGTCATCTCCAGAATAGTGCTTGTCGTCGTCCCCGCTGTCGGAATCGGGCTTCTTCTTCCTCTTCGAGATGCCTTTGCCTTTGTCCTTGCCCTTGTCTATGAGACATTCTACATCTCCATCTCGATGTCAGAGTCAATCCGCTCGTACTTGGGTAACGAGTTGGTTGGGTGGGACGAGGAATGATGGTAAGCTCGGTCTACTCATCTGTAGGCAGGAAAACAGACCTGGAATATGACCTTTTCGCGCTGAAGTCGGGGCCTGTACGACTATCAAAGAAGGTTGTGGTGAATTAAATCATAGGGTACTCACATGGACATTTATCCTCCTTATGTGTGATCCTCTCAGTCGGATCATCAGCGCGAGGAAGATCCAGATAGCTTTCTAACGAGCGATCGAGCAACGCGCTGCGTAGATAATGAACAACAAGACGTACAAATACAGTCACGGCAGAATATATGCGTGCAGGGCGTGACGACCGAGGCCGTGAAACGATCGAAACATATGGAGCATCGCCGTCAGTGGTAGCGTCCTCGAACTACGACATAAAGACCAAGGAAACTTAGCATCCAAACGATGATACAAGGAGGAACAGGATCAAAAGTTAGTCTATACCAATAAGCATCTAAGATCAATGAGCCCTTCGGCTCGCAGGTTTACAGAGGAGTGCCTCTTACTCGCTAGACAGCTGATGATGGGTGTGCTGTAATCGCAAAACGCACGAACGGTTGACTGTGATGTCTATATGAAAGGAGGTACTGACCCAGACAATGCCCAACTGCGCATATTTTGAACTTCATCGAGGACGACACGATACCACTGGAATGAGATGAGAAGAAGATCAGAGCACGAGCGAAGACCTCTACATTCAGAAGGATGCCATCTGAGATCTAGGGCAAGGAAAGCGCGGTGACTCTGTGGCCCATTTCTAGGGCCGACGGCACTGGCAGGCGGTGTTGTACCTGCCATACAGCAAGAACGGGTGGACCCATCGGAGGACTGATATTCCAGCTTTGCGATGCCTCGCGATTGCTCGCCTTGAGGGCCTCCCCGTAAGTGCTCAGAATCGTCCCGGAAATAAACAAGGACAAACAGCGGACTTATTGATGTGGCACCAGCGTGTGGCGTCGCAGAGGGTCTGACTGCGCACACTCCTGACCCTCATGAATTTACCCGGACATTGATCGCTTGTAAAAAGCTGAGGTTGGGTACATAGGCACAGTTGCGTAAAGATCCTCAGCAACGGGGCAGGTGAAAATAGCGGCCAGACCCAAACTATCTGGTATCATCGAGGGCAAGACAGTCGACAGAAAGGAACGTGATGATAACGAACATGAATCGCGGGAACTGGAACTCGTAAAACACGAAGATGGCGAAGTGGACTGCATAGAAGGTGATAGCACATAGATCGCGTGATTACACATACGTTGGAGGATGAGACGAGGACTGCGAACAGCGTGGACAACGGTGGGGAGATCGGTGTGCGAACAATAGTCTCCTTCGGCATAGCGAACTGGTCACCAGTAACCATCTTGACGTTTACCCCGAGAGCGAGGGCACCACCCATAGTCTACAAGGAATCGTCACGGTGAAGAATCAGACATGGCGAAGCGACCTAGGCGTCAATTGTTGGCATTCACGCAGGCGACGGTCAAAGCCTGGAGGCAACGAGTGGAACTCCTCGACGTCGTGCACGAGCTGCTGCTCCCGTCCCTTGGTCTTGTTGCGAGTACAGAGCTCAATGATGATACCGGTCATACTTTTGGTGCCACGCTTTAAGCTTGCCGGAGGACTCCTTGCGGTAAGTGAACTCAGTACGCTTATCGACGAGGTTGAATGCCTTGAGGTCGAAGATGTCGTCGCGTGACCTTAACAGTAGGAGGAGCGGAAGCTAGCGAGGAGGGAGCGAGTCACCGGCGGGGGCCGTTTGGTCTAACGAAAGAGAAGGGGTGAAGGGAAGAAACAAACAAACCGAAAGGAAACAAAAAAAAAAGGAAAAGGGAAAAAAAGGACACGAGATAAAACGAGACAGAAAGGAACGTACCGGGAGGCGAAAGAACCCCCACGTTCTCTTTTTACTCTTTGAGCCCCGCACTTCGAGTCCTCCTCCCCGTCTTCCTGGTCTCCCTAACCTAAACATCCTCCAGATAGGCATGACCCGACAGGCGTACATAGTATGCGGACGCACTCGAAGAAGAGCGACGACAAGCGGCGATGATCGCTCGGCCGTACAATGAGGCTTGAGCCAGACACTGTCGACGTGCCGTGGGTCTCGTCAACGGACAGAGGTCAAAAATATGAGGGAGAGCGAGGGCAAGTTAGCGAGATAAATAGTGAGGGTACCAGGAAGACGACGAGCGACGCAGTAGGCGCGGAGGACGACACCCCAAGCGCCTGACGACCTCCCAAAATACGGTGCGCGTCCAGGTCACCTTGACCTAATTTCCCGGGCTCGCGTTCGAGGGTTATTATCGGACCAGAAAGCGAGCAGGTCGAGCCAGCAGCGACAAGAGTGACGAATAAGGATGGTACGAGGCAGATGGTGTCGGCGAGGGCGTTGATACCCCTCGACTGACAGTTAGCCTTATCGCCATTGCCGATCGCGAGCCGAACAGGGTAATCTCCTTCGAGAAATTCAGAAGGTGAGGGAAGAAGTCGAAGAAGGGCCGCGTGAGTGAAAGCGATGAGGGTGAATGTGCTGACAAAGGTGCTGGCGCGAAGCAAGAATCAACAAATATCACGACGGAACACGCTTTGAGTGACCACGTCGACGTGTAGTCCAATATTGAGCCGGATGTTATCATGGTCGAGAGTGCTGTAGGAAGTCATAGGGAGTCCGTCGAAGAGAAATAGACGAAAGAAGAGAAAACGGACCGAAAAGCATGCCACAATGAGACGAAACGTGTTGCGAGCGTTGCTGACACGCCGTATGACTCCTAGCTGGACTTGAGAGTAAACAAAACGAAGTGTGGAAGAAAAAGACTACGAATACGTTGTTCCGTTCACTGACCCTGCGTACCTTCAGCGTCCCATCCTTCGCGCGTCAAGGGATGCTTCAGGGAGCAGGTGATGCAGGTGATGATACGGTGGGGTTTTGGAGGACGTCGTCCGTCAATTCGAGAAAGCAGGGACGCTGTTGAAGAGGTCAACATTTGTGACAGTGATTGGATATATGACGAGATGTACAGAATGCGTACGTACCTCTTTTGCCCCTCATCAAATGTTCTGACAATGCCCGTGCCACGGGTGGGGGCCTTCTTGACGCCGTGCTGGAGCTGGTTCTTTTGCTCCTCGGTCCTGGGGCGGATGCAGAGCTCGACGACGAGAAGCCCTTGCTGATGTGCTTGAGCTTACTAGAAGACTCCTCGTAGTAAGTGAGCTCGGCACAGTTGTCGACGGGGCTGAAGGTCTCCTTAAGTCGAAGAGCCCGATAACAGCGCGAGCTACGGCCGACGCCGCCGAGATCGTGCCGTCTTTCAGTGTAGAAATTACGCATACTATCCTCACTACAACGATGGAGGCGAGGCAAGATAATCTGCTCATGGATTGAAGCGGAATATGTAAACATTCATTGACGAGGACGACCAGTGATCTTGAAATACATCAGTCAAGGTCCATCGTACTGAGATTATCCCTGACACGTCTCAGAATACCTCTGGCATCTTCTCCAAGATGACCCTCCTCCTTAAGGTTGTTCATGACCCAGTCCGCCGTGGTAACAAGTTGTTTCTGCTTGGGTTCAAATAAGTCATTGGTAGTCAGCCCGGAAGTCGACTCGATGGCGTGCTGGACGTAGGGGAGGCCGTTGTGTGTAAACGTCCACTTCGTATCCCAGTCAGGGAGAGGGCGTCTTCGGCTTGAGGAGGCTGTTAAAGCTTGCTTTCTTAGCCAAAGGTGCATCAACGCTGCATCCGCACCGCATCCACACTGGAGGGTGTCAATGTCGTTAGCGAAAGAGTCGAAATTGCCGTTCTCCTTCTTCCGGCCTTTTCCGCTCGTTATGCATTTGAGACAACGGGTCTCGCAGATTTTTGGCCCCTGGAATGACGCTTTTGAGCTTCATCACAGAGTGGAGAATGATTACACACGGACCTTTGTCTGTAGAACTGCAAGAGCTATGTCCCGCCCTTTCTCCAAGGCATGCTTATTCCCTACAATGTCCTCACGGGTAACTTGGGCGCGGTTCAGGTCCATGCTAATTATACGACCCGCCTCATCGACGAACTCTACGTTCGTGGGGACCCCGAGAACGTTTCCATCATCGGACGGAGTGGGTTGGGCTATGGAGGTATTCACCGGTCTCCCTCTTCGGGGATGGCCACGGCGGATACTGGGCTGGGAGCACGCAGCGCCAGGATTGGAGGAAATCGGTGGTTCGTTATCAGCATCAACGTCAAGATCCATGTCAGGGCCGAGGGCATCAGGAGTGAGGACGGTATGGATGATATTTTCCGCCTCCTGTGTGTGGTCCAAGTTGTGCACCAGATCTGGGTAGGCGGACCCAACGCTTCCCTGGGCAGTCAGCGGTGGATCTATATCCATGTCCCCAGATGCGTCAGTCACTGTAGAAGGTCATGAAAATGATCGTCAGTGAAAGCGCGACTGGAGCTATGCGACACTCGGTATGCATGGTAATAGGACATACCCTCTTCGACCATTCGTCCAGGAGAAGTCTTCTCTTGGATGTCTTCGGGTACGGCGACAATGTCCCCATTTTCGACGGCTGGAAGTATCTTGGTTAAGAACTAGTAGGAGCTTTATATGATACATTACACACGTCGTTGGCTTGTGGATGCGGACTGTGGGTTTTTCCAGAGTCAGATATGATTGTCAAGGGTGGTAGGAAAATTAGCAAGGGTGCTCTATGGTTCGGGTAAGGGTGTAACGGTACGCACAGGCAAATCTTCGGAAGAAGGCTGAGCTCCAAGTCGATGCTTACTGGGTTGCCGAGTAGCACTCATACCGTCAACAGGAAACGAAATATATTGAAATATAGTGTGGTCAGGGAGGGGCCCGTCTCGTTCGTCTTCAGGTGCGGCGACGGGGTCCCCATTTTCTATGAGTGGGAGTGTCTCAGTTAGGATCTATCCGAAACTTTATAGGACGAGAACAGACCTCGGAAGTTCGCAGATGAGGAATCAGGCTTGTCCCGCAGCTCGATGGGAGCGTGAGTGGAGGAATGAGGTTCATCTATGCCACCAGTTTGAGAGGACGGCGCAGTAGCATGGATGTCGTACGATTGGAACGAGGCATAACAACCGAAAATTGTCAGACATGGTGAAGTCAGAGTCGAGTGCAGATAGAGCGGTTGAATGCTACGGAAGTAGTGGTAATAAAACGTACCTTCTCTATTTACCGGAGGGCTCGGAACGACGAACTCTTTTCGGAGCTCTTCTAGTGATTTTATTAAATCTACAGCATATACGGTTGGGAGTATTTTAGAAAGAAAATAATAGGAACTTCTTAGGCCGCATTTATCTGCCAGACCTGATGTCGCGTCGAGTCGGGTCTGCCAAAGGAGAGAGAAACACGTCTCGGAGGCGACACCGAGCGGAGTTTAAGGCCTTCTCGCCGTCGTTGATGGTCCTACAGACCATTCGAAGATGCCGTACCAAATGGTAGCTTCCAATTACAACCACTCCATATGCGCCTACAGCGACTTATCCTGAGGGTTCAGGTTCAAAGGAGCCCCACATCGACGCGTCCGAATCGAGTCCGGCAGGCAAACGCAGCCTGATGAAGACACACACCTTCCTTTGACCTTCCGGTGAATCCCCAGCGCCCAACTTCGCGTGAGATGTGGGCCTTCGAGGTTTTTTTCACGTTATTTATGACTTTGTTGATTCCTTCCAGCGTCTGGAGTTGCTCATAGTGGCGCAGTTCGTGTGTCATTGAAGGCAGCAAGGAGAGGGAATGCGGCGTGGTAGAGACTTGCTTCCGCTTTCACAGGTTGAGAAAGTTTCATTATTCAAAAATAATTTCGTGACTCACTGCAAGCTGGATGGGGCAGCCTTCCATCTGTCAATTTCATCTCCGCTCAATGTCACTCCCACACAAAATAGAATGTTGCAACCGGCCAAAAGCATTTTGGAGCGCACCACTTGCCCGCTCCGAGTCCTTTGGGCTTGCACTGGCTCCCGTTGGCCCAACTCGTTGAAAAACAGGATATCGAGATACAGTGTCCTGAACATTCGGCAGGTTCTGTCAAATTGGATGCCGAGAGTTGCTCTTCATCGACGAGATTGAGGAGGTCCGTCGATCTGCGAACCTGTCAGCCATCTGTCAATATGGCCTTCGACCCTGAGGCCTGAGCCCTGAACGCTCTCCTTTGCCCTTCATGGCATGTGTCGGCGGCGCGTTCGGTCTGCTTCTACTCCTTTCTATGTTTACTTTCTTAGGAATTTCATGGAGTTCACGGGTTTGTTTTTCTCCTACCTGGACTCTGTGCAATGAACGACCGTCGTCTCGGTCAATTTGAGCATGATATATATACTCGGGCTCAGAGGAGCCGAAACGCATCGACGCTGGCTAGACAGCTTCCATAAGTCAATTCTCTCTTGAGTAATGAATCATTTCTTTCGTTAGCTTCCATTTCCACATAACATACCAGGCGGAAGGTTGTGGAGGAAATTGTCATTCACAACTTTGCTAGTAGCGATCACGCGAATTTCGATTGGAAGCGAGTGGAATTCATGGTAACCTAGGCGATCGCCACGCGCGAGCACTGAGAGGTCTGAAAGGTACAGTGAGATGCCGCCTAGGTAGAGGAAACTTTAACAGGATCGGTCATATCGGTGTCGATCTGTTTTGTTGCCGCCGGCGAGGGAAATGAAGCGGTGAAAGAGGTAGTGGCAGGCGGCATCGTAGTTGTCACCGTCAGTGTAGTCCTGTGTAGTCGGGGAAGTCGTCACCGAGTGGTGACCGTGGCAGCTTCTCCGCAACCATATCAACAATGTTCAGGAATAGGATCTACGGACGAACGAGAACTGACATTAGCACACAAACGCTAGCAAGAAATAACTCAGGAAGCTACATACGATCTTAATCTTGACGAACCACCGCGAGGTGAGTATTGAGTCAAAGAGGATGAGAGCTTCTTGCATACGGTTCGAGCGGAACCGTGTGAAAAGGAATGAAAAACTGAGGAATTACATGGACGACAATGGAACAGAAACGGACCACGCTCTCATCTTTGTACAGTATCTGGTCGTACTCGCTCAACGAGACCAGGAAGACCAGAGCGGTGACGTTCTCGAAACAGTAATTCCACTTCTTACGCCTGGACCACTGACCACCGACATTGAATTGTTTGTAAGTCAATTCGCCGGCCTTGAAAGTTGTCTCGGTGATACCAGTCGTCTTGAAAGACTGCGAAGGATATCCTGGTTGGTGGGCGTATAGCCATGCGACCAATAGAATTGAAGCCAAGGCGGCCTCAGCGCTAGCTTTCTATTCATCGTACGTTGGAACCCAACGAGCCTCGCTTGCCTGACTGATGACCTGGAGCCGCGCCAATGCTTTCTCACATCCTCAAGATCCACCTCCGCAACCTTCAGCGAAGCACTAAATAACGAAATCTGAAGGCAACAATCATTAGAACCTCCATCCCATATATATCGAATAAAAGTTTGAAGAAACTCACGGAAGCTCAGCGACCTCAGTCTCAGGCTACTGCTCCTTCGTCGTCGCATCGTCCACCGGAGCTTGATGCACAACCCCATCTCCAGCCATCACCGACAAAGATGCGATGGATCCTCTGCGCTCATGAATCGCTAACTTCTCCTCGTTACCTTGCAGCTGCCGAGAAAGGTCGAAGACCTTCTTTCGAGATGAGACTTGCTCATTTCTGCGCGTGCGAGGGATTCACGAGTGGTAGCAATTTACTGGGCGTACGAGAAGGGACATATGTCAGAAACCGAATATACATGTGGGTAGCAGAGGACAGACCTGTTTGTCCAGGCGCGATTGATGTTCCTTGGCTTCGAGCTCCCTCTACAGGATGACGGAGACCCTCTCGAGACTGAGCTAGTCACGAATGTCCAAGCTATACTTGAAGCAGGTAACGAACACGTAAGTCGACCACACTGCTGGGGGTGGGGGAAAAGATGCACGTTTGGCCCGCAAGCATTTAAATTTGGTTCTCCAGCCTCTTCCTATTGTGATCACTCCAGGTCTTTATGCATCTTCTGTACGTTTGACATCAGATCCGATAGTTGAGACCTCTCGACCGATGGTGCCCTGTTCTCCTCGACCAGGCGGCTCTGAATGCTCTGGATGAACCGGCCATAACCCAAGCATATCAGCCTCGGCCCAACCGCAGAGAGAAAAGTTTAGAGCAAGGGGGAAAGGCTTATACCCCAAATCCCCTTCTCAGCTCTCAAACTCACACATTCGTTCCTCATAATCTCCATCTCGCCCTCCAGGACGGAAAGCTCCTCTGTTGCTTTGGGGAACTCCACATCTGTACGGGTCGACTTATCGCAAACAATATCATGCCTTTCAAGAAGCTCGTCCATATCGTGGGCTTGAACGCTGTACTGCTCTTTCGCCATTCGATGCCGGTCTGGAGATGAAACCACGATATCGAGCGCCGTTGTCCGGTTTCGTTCGCTGGATTCAGAAAGCAAAGAAACATATCATTCATGTACTCGATCCTTGCATCCGCTTTGGCCAACGCACCGCTCAACTGACCGTTCTCCCTTTGGACTCTCACAGGCTCTTCCCTCACCCATCTCTGTCCTATACGTGCCAAACTCCTTCTGCACCTCCACCAGCTGACTCTTCAACCCTTCTAGCTCCTCGCCTGCCCCGATTTTGTTGTGCCCCAGTTCCCGCATCGTTCGACTTGCAGCGGTCGAGTCTCTCTTTCTGGCGTAGGAGTTACCGGACTTGGCGTCCGAGGTCGTCCGCCTGCTTGCTGAGCATGTTGTTCTCCTTGAGAGTCGATACGAGCTTCATCGTGGCGTCGGGTGCGGCATTTGCGTGTGCGTGTGCGTCGCGGGCTTCGAGAACGGGGGAGAGTTCGGATGAGATATGGTGCGGTTCCGAGACCAGGTGGTCGTATTCCATGGGTTATTCGGTAAGTACGGGGCCTACATAGCATGCAATCATATGTCAGTGGAATAATCTTCGAACACAAAGAACGAAGGGAGGAAGAAAGAGCAAACACCCACCCTGCCCTCGATCTGGTTCAATAGCCCGTTGTGAGCCTTCTCCGTATATTCTCGTACTCCCTGGATTTGCGCGCATACGCATCCTGAAGCCTGGCATGGTCTGCAGACACCTCCGTGAATATTCTCCCCGCCTTCCGCGCCCTGCTGGTCATCGCGATCGTCGAGCTAAGATCCTCGTTCGTCATCTCCATCGCATCTGATGTCCCACTCCTCATCGGCGTCGCAGGCGTACCCGGCGTTCAAAGCACCGAGCCCATAGAAGGTGACACGCCCAGTCCCATAGCAACCTCAGGCCTCTGCCTTCTGGGTTCGCGCTCCACCTCACATAGGAGTTCGTCTTCTCGCCTTTCGACCGTCCACTGCACCCATTCCCAATCACTCTCTATCATCAATAACGACACCCTTCGCCTCCTCGTCCCTCCTCTCCAAGACAGCCACAAGCCTCTTCAGCCCCTCGACGTTCCTCCCGAGCTCTTGTTCGCTCTCCACTTGTCTCCTCTTGTATTCCTCCTTCTCCGTCGACAGCCTGGCATTGCCAGCGCTCAGCTAACCGTGCAAGCTGCGGAGGGAAGAGGGGCTAGATTAGATGGTGGTGTGTTCGGTTTGGAGGGTAGATATTAGAGGGTGGAGTGGAGGTAGATGTGGGGTAGGCCGTGTGTAGATTGTTAGGTTGTCAGTGTCCTGGTGAGGCGTTTGCATTCGTCTCTGGCGAATTGGAGTTGTCGAGTGAGAGGGTTGAGTTTGAACTATGTAGAAACCGAAGTCAGTATTACTCAGGGTGGGGAGGAGTGTAACGGGAGGGAGTACCCTAGTAGTAGTAGTGGTTGGGATTCCAGGGACTGATATTCCTGCCTGACTTGCTTGAGGTTTATGCGGGTCGATCTGACTTCCTCTGCAGGATGGGAAATGTACACGATCGTTCAGTCAACAAAAGTAAGAAGCTGGCCCGCGCGCAGAGCAAGGGCGTTGGAAGATGGGAGAAAATCTCGATAAAGCATAGAACAAATGATAACAATTGATAGAGAGAAGGAACGTCCCATCACGCATCGCACTGTCCTCTTTCAGAGGTCGACAACACCAGCCTGATCACGCCTCTCGCGCTCGGTGTCATTGATCTTGCTTTTGAGGAGGTCGACTTCTGAGTCGAAGCTCGTGTGGCTGGTGGTCACGATCATCAATTGTTTCCTCAGCTCAAGCAGCATAGGTAAGATAAACGCACCGAGCTCGATCATTTTCCCATTATCGTCTCTCTGTCCTGGAGAACCTGGGCTAGCTCGATCCGTCTGGACTTCAGTGCAGGTCATGCCAAGCTGCCTCCGCGATGCAGTAAACTCCGCCACCTATCTTACTGCGAGCTGAATTCGACGTCGAGATCGTTCGATCGATATGAGAATTGTAGACGATTCGGAGAGCAATGAGTTGTTTTCATGCTGAAGACCCGGTAGGCGACGTTGGTGTTTTTCGAGCCGGGTTTTCGCGAGTCATCGCTAGCTAAAAACGGAAGCGTATGATCTGTTCAGTATTATGAGCAAAGAGAAAAGACGAGTAAAGGGTTAGCGTCGTCGCTACATAAGGATGGCGAGGTGTCAAAGGCGATGTAAGTCAGCCCCCCCGATTTATTACTCTCTTGCGGGAGCTCTGACACTGACAGCCGCGAGAACAATGAGTGTGCGAAGACAGCGAAAAAGGACTGTCCACAGCGCGTCCAAAAAGCGGCCTGAGCCAGAGTCGAACCCGCACATCTAGAACGGTAAGTGCCGGCCCCGCGTCCAACCCAGCTCGGCCACCTGCGTTTGTTACAATATTTCCATCAATAAATATATACCACTCCTTGTGCCGCCCACCCCTACCCCGCCGCCTGTTCCACCCCTTCTCGGCCTTCAATATTTTCGATTTCCCCCTTTTTGATACCCCTGGTGCGTTTTAAATTTAATTCACCTTTTATTTCCTCTTCATTTACCCACCCACACAGCCTGCGACGCTACATTCGGAGACGCGGCCGCCACTCAGATGTGGTCGCGCACGTCCGTGTCCGTGGGACGGGCGCGCGTGCCGAATTTGATTTCGCGGATTCGGGCGGGGGGAGCATTTGCTCACAAATGCAGCGTTGTTTTCGCTGAGTTTTGGCAGAGGAAGCGATGCTCGCAAGAGATACTTATGGCAACACGGCATGGTGGCCAGAGGCAGATAGTCAGGCGCGCATTTTATATGATAATGTGATATATCAAATTTTCTCGGGGGTTTTCGTACCAGTCATTCGTGAGTTATGCCATGAAAGGCTGGCTACTGGTCGTGAACCTGTTGTTTGTCCGGCTCTCGCAATGCTCATGACCGCCCACAAAATTCATAACGCAACAGTAGGTCTCTGCATTTTTTGGGGAGTTCGAGAGGCATATTTGGCTCTGGCTCGGTCTAAGTTGTCACCCAAGGGCATCATCACGAGGGGCAGGACGCCTCAACCTCGTCTGCGACATGCTCGCTGGAGAGTTTCGCCCGGATATTTCCTTTAACGCGTCGAACAAGGTAAAAAAACGTGTCTTTGCGCTGAATTCCCATGATCACGCGTTCCTCGAGGCCACCCGGGCGTTGCCCAGGTCCGCATAGTATGCACATATAGCTCGCCGGCTAAACCGGTCCATTGACGACATTCATCGCGTACTTTTCGACCACTAATTTTCGCTCTCTGCAAGGACCACTCCTTCCTGGCGATAGCTCTATATATTCATTCAGCTCATGCCGTGTTTGGGGTCACACGAGTTTCAACCTATCTTCCGCGTTCACGTCTCACATCAGGTCTGTTCTCTCTGGGCTTGTTTCTCATTTCACGACTACTCGCGATTATTACAAGGGCATGTGAGTCCAGATGACTCTTAAGGAGGAACTCCTCCGCCGTCTCGAGGTCGAGGCTGACCAATCTCGTGGCACGGCTGGTCCGAGCTTTGGAAGGAGATGGACACTGCGACATATGCGGTCGTCGACGGCGATCTCTGCCTCGTCCTTGACGGAACGCTTCAAAGGGTACCGTTGTTGCGCCCGCGCCCGCGGAATGGTGTCAAGCATTGAACATAATCCATGTGCTTCAGTGGAGGTGGGTCCATGTTTTCGGGCCATATCGTTGCCATACCACTCGGACTTGAGCAACACGGTACCCTACATCCATGTTAGGTGAGAAATGCTTTCAATAATGAAAAGCAGCACACCTTCTACTCCGACATCTTCTCCACGGCCGTTCTCGTTGATCAGAACGGTATCGAAACCCTCCACGTCACGGTCTTGCTCACTACGATAAGCAGGTCGGATGTGAACCGTATCGAGAGTTTCGGGGACATTGTCGAGGCCTTGAATGTTTAGACTTCAAAACTTGATTTTGAAGTATACGGGGCATTTGCAAAGGGAAGTCGGAGAGTAGCCGCCACTTGTGCCACGTGGCGTGGATCGAAGCTTGGATAGCGGAGCTTCACGATAAATCTGGACAGAGCTGCGCAGAAGTTCGCAGCCCCAAATCGAACAAGCCTACTGTCGATAGAGACTGCCCTGAGATTCGGAAAATTGGCTAGCTTGATGTGCATATCGCAATGGATGGCCATCAAGGTACACTTGATGAAAAGGTCGTGAACGTGCACTTTCTCTCGCCGCTCCCTCCAGACCGTCATCTGGCGTTGCTCGTGAATATACCTTCCTTCCTTCCTTCCTTCCTCGTCGCGATGTTTGAGGCTTTGTATGCATCCTTGAGGTAGTCGATGTGAAGCCGTCCGGTATAGGCTGTGGCGTGCCCGTCCATCGTGCCAAACCATTCAATGCCGGGTTGATAGTGGGTGAGAGTGTGGAATTTGGGGAGGTTGAAGTCTACTCGAACGCTGCAGTCAATAAATATAGATTTGTTGGCGTGGAAACGAGCTAAGGCGTCGTCCATGTAGTGTCCGTGTGGAATAAATATTGCGCAATGTTAATAAAGTCCAGGAGGGCTACGATAGACCGTTCGAGGCGAACAGGGGATAGGTTGAGTGGAAGGCGGAGACCATGAATGACACCGAGTAGCACTCGGCAAATATCCTTGTGCTCCTGACCAGAGACGCGAGAAAGTGATGAGAGTGCCACTGACCGCGACGGTGACTGACATCGGGTTGTTTTCGTCTGTGGGCAGCTCGATTCAAAGCTGACGCTGACCCAGAGAGTGAGCTAGAGTCGGCCAAGGAAGGCAGAGGGAACGGTGTTCAACAGCGGTCTGTTCCAAAAATGCTCTCGTCTGCAAACGTTCATCCTGCGTACCTCCTCGATACCGATTCGGATGACGAAGACACTTACAGGGCTGGTGCTGTGAGTAATCAGTATATGTGGTTGTCTGGCTTACCTTACCTTACTGAGGTCCTTTTACCTTATCAGCCTCCGACCTTGTCCTCCCTCCCCGCAGAGCAAGTGCCTTCGAAGGCTCAAACTCACAAAACCAATATCACCCGTGCGTATGCATAGTAATTGCCTGTATACTATAAATACAACTATCTGCTTGCCAGGCCCTCGAAGAGCATCAGCCACCTTGCAGGAAACCATCCCAACCGTGGTCAATCCGTCAAGCAAACCGAAGACAAGATCCCGATGCGCGCCCGTGATCAGAACGTGAAGGCGGTCCGTTCTTTGACCGCTGTTATTTTATCGTAGTACTGATTCATGGGTCGTGTTCGGACTAGCCTGTTGGTAGTGCTAGGTCATCTCATGACAGTGGGAAAGGTTTTGATCCACCGGAATTTGTGAGATCCTTTGCTTTGCAATACTAGTTCCTCAACTATTCATCGTCAATGCACAGCCTATCTCTCGCAGCAATGTGGCGGGCATGGACGCCGACCTTCCACCTGCACCTTCCAAATCGCGCTCTGGCTCCATCCCCGCCCATCTCGAGCAACCTCCACGGTTCCGAACAACCACTGCAAAGGCGTCAAAGCGCAAGCCGAAGGTATCCGAACCAACCGAAGAGTATGGGGGCCATGACGTCGCGTACAAAGATAATACATTATCTGGCATTCATATTACTCGGTATCGTACCCACAAGGAGTGACGAGTTTCTTGGCTCACGTCGCGCTACCTGTTACAATAGATCCGGCCCAGTCTACAGCTCCAGTCGCGCAGGCAGAGACAGGCAATAACTCTTCCTCATTCGACCCTCTCTTCCTCGTCCACCATACATTGACGATAGAATTTATGATTATATATTTTTCCAGCACCGTCGCTCACCTACGATGAGTACACCAAGCCGACAACCGCCGCTCCAAATTAGCAGAAGAATACAGATAGCGACAACGGATCGGAGCTCGCTGGCGTTCTCAAGCAGGGGAAGCTGCTCCGCACGTTGCTGAATGAGGCTAACACAGTACAAATTCCTTACGCCGCGTGCTTCGTCTATACACTTGCACCAGCAGGGGAGCTATGCACGCCCGGGGCGCCCGGGAATTGGGACATTCTCATGCGAGCCGCGTTCTCTACACGCATCTCTTGCTCCGATTTAGCGAAGCGTTTGTTGGCCGAGCCGGTCGGCTACGCAGATCTTTTAGCCTCGGCTGCGAGTAATTTTTTTCCGCTGTACTCGTCGTTGAGATTCAAATTGAGTGGCGAGTCTCGACTACCCTCAGCAAGCCTTTTGTACGTGGCGGGGCAAGACACGCAATGACGTCCCAATATCCGAGGTCTTGCACGTATATGGCCTCGAAAGTCTCTTTGGGAAACCGGACGAGCACATTTTTTCTACGGCGAGCCTGATGATCTAACGGTGTTACTGATTGATGTTTAGACCAAGGAATATATTGAGAGTAATACTTTTCTTCGCGAAGCGATCATTTTCATACTTTACCATGTTTTCTATGGCTCCAAGGCGGTAACTAAATTTCCCGATGGGTATTTTGAGTCTGACATCGAAGGCGAGCCTGAAATTCCGGACGCTATGATCGCATTTGCGGCCCTCTTGGTGCGTTCATTTCCATGTTCAACCACCCGACTTGCAAATAACGCGCCATTCCACACATTCTCACGCGATGTCGTTCTTCAGGCTTTCTTTGCTCTCACGGACCATGCATCTGGGCGATTCAACAAACAGGAATCCAAGGGCGCACTCTTCTACGATGAGTATCAGGATTGCATGTGAGCCCTGCAGCAGTTTGGTGAGGATGAGGTAGATCATTTTACGCTCACATAACGCTTGTACCACAACGTTTAGTTAATACTCATATCTGTTCATCTTGATTCTACCATCAAGTCGGGCCTCCTGACATGGTTGACAGTGACTGGCCCATGAGGACCACGAAGACCGCCGTACGCGCCCCCCGCACCGGCACTCGCAACAGTCGCATCGCCGCTGCGAAAGGCCGTATCGCTGCATCTTGCAAAATAATTCAATACTGATTTGACTGGTTTGCTGATCGGCGGCGTACTTATCTTCTGATTTCGGCACACGTGACTGCGCTCTCTCGCCGAGGATTCAAGACGTTCTACCGTTCGACAGCAACGATAGATCTCCGCACCGGAGAAACTATCATAGACTAGACATGCTCCACGGAACCTCAACAAGTTTTGTCCCCACAAATCGGAGGCGATCAAACAACGTAAAAGACGCGGAACCGGCCCTATACCATCGTTCTTCTTGCTCATGTTGTATTTTTTTCGCATCCGCGACTGGAGTACATGAAAGGAATGTGGAGCAATTGAAGAGAGTTGGGTGGCTGTTGGTTGCTCCCCGGGACACCCCTAAAATGTCGAGTGGTGTAGGAATCATAGTGTTTCATGCTTACCTGAAGGCAGGTCTGCATGGAGTAGATGACATCAAATAATTTATTCGGGTCTATGGGTCCGAATAAACCGAAGTAGACGTTCGATCGGTGCGACGGAGGGACTTGCTGAACCGACTTTCAGCGTTATGACACTAGGTGAATTCCTGCTGCCGAGTAGCTTCTTCGCGGATGGATTTATCCAATATTTACCCATGAAAGAGGGGCCGATACGGCGTTAACGGATCAGCAGTACTTAAACAATGTCTCATTGCTAACAGATCAACAGAACACAAAACCCCCGAATCCCTCATCATCCATGTCTTCTGATCTCTCCCCAAACCTCATCGTTAATCAACAAATCTCCAAAGAGCATGAACTCGCACCGGTTTTAGACCGAGCACCTACATACTCCCCGCCGCCAGAGTTTGTCCTCCTCGCTTTCTTCACCCACAGAACAGGTTCTGATTTTGTGATATATACATTCCAAGTGTCACCACGACTCAGAGTGCATTCGATGACTCGGTGAATGAGGTATATGCCCTCAGCTTTGTTCCATTAATTGCAGGCTAACAAGTTCTCACCTCGTACTCTACCTCCACATGCAAGGATGTCGACGTCGGCCTGCTCCCCTTAGAGATTGCAGAGATTTGGGACTCTGTCTTCGTACCGAGCCTTGTAGCAAGATACTCCACCGTATCGGAGTCAAATTTCCCCATGGATGTCGACGAACTCATCCCCATCATCCGCGTCGCTTTCATGAGTACGTACCCAGATGAGATTTCAGAGAGATATGTCGAGAACATTGTTCCTGGGGAAGTGATCTTTGAGCTTGTACGTACTCCGCTACTCGGGCCTTCCGCTTCCTTTCGTCTGTCCTTCTTTGCCTGCAGCCAACATGCTGACGAGGGTATATGCTGGCGATCATAGTCTATGCAAAAACTACACGAATATCGTGGCAGGTTCCTTGGTATTGCAGCAGTTGCTGTACACAAGTTCTTCACTAGGAGCTATTACGATTATAATGAAGGTCTGAAGTACTGCTTCCAGACCCCCGAATCAATCCGGGCGTTTGTTCGCAGTATACTGTCGCCGTCGGGAGCGCGCGGGAGCTTCCACTGGGCTCACTGGTATTCATCCCATGTACGTGGGTTTATTCTGCATCCTTATCCTGCTCCGGATGATGAGATCTACAAAACAGAGCCGCCACGGAGCGTATGAAAACCCACTTCTACTCGAGATTCTCGCAAAAGCCCACTTCAGGCAGGTCGAAGGAGCCAATACGTTCAGTTTCCCTCGACAAGAACCAATCCAGGCCCTTGTTCTTGCACTAGTAGCAGTACATCTCCTTTTTCTTGGGTCATTTTTGACTGCTTCTCATCATGGTATTGGCGATTAGCTCAACTTTGCCTTCGAGCTTTGGAGTGAAGGGACACCCGCGACAGATTCCACTATGGCCAGTCTAGAATGTTGGGATTGGGACGCGATAGCTAAGGAGCATGCAGAGGCTTTCGAAAATCACCAGGCTGCGTATGGCACGACTCCCTCCTCAGCAAACTGGGACAAAATTGTGAGCGGCGTGAGGAAGTTTATGTGAGAGAAGGCCATAGTTATAGCTCCAGTTTCTACTCGGATCGAACAGGTCCTGAAAGTTCTTGCTTGTCGTTCTGTGTATTTCACAGTATCGTCTTGACATAATGGTTAAGATTCCATGAGTTACCTTGCTTCAAGGTCCTTCCAACCCCCGTAACCTGCAACAAACCTGCAAATCCGTTGCCAAAAATAACATGTACAAACAAGCGATGTGGCGTGGTGCCACACTGCGTGTCGTCCCCGATCGCGATACATTTGCACGAAGTACCCACTCATCACGCAGTTGTGACTCCGCAAACAGGCCGTATCAATACATTGGACAATATAATGTCTGGAACTTGAGCTAGGACCTGTGGGCCTCTGTGGGCCTCCCATCCAGAAGTCGCGTCGGCCAACAAGCAATGTGGCACCGCGCCACATTGCGTGGTGTCCACGACCAAGATATAGTACAGTCGGTGTCCAAGGAGGCATCTGTTATTGAAGTCAGAGAGGTCTTGACGATGTAACGTGTGGGCAACAAGAAACTTAGGTCAATTTAGGTGGAGGACACGATGAAAATTCGAGTGAACTGAGGAGAATGTCAATGAGCACGAGGAGGAAGTTGTCGAAAATTGTTGATAAAGAGATGATAAGTAGTCGGCGGCGCTTTTTGGGAAAACCTTGTTGTCTATTCCGCAGTTTTGGCAGATGTACAGGCGTGCCGCGCACGTTAGTAGAAATAGTTGTTGCAGACGAGATAGAGGTTTCGACAATCAAACGCGCAAACGACGGGAGGTGCTAAGATAGTATACATTTATGAGATTTCCGAGAAAGACAGAAAGAGAAAAGTCTGGCTGACCGGAGCGATATCAAGAAAGACCGAGCCATTTCGAGTGAGTGGAGAAGAACCTCAAGTAGCCCCGAGAAGAGGAATGTAATTGATTTCTTTGCTTCTTTCTTTTCGGCATGCGACAAGCAGACTTCACACGGTCTTGCGTGGCGCGTGCTGTTGGGCCACTTTCGCGTTGGCTTTCGCCTTCACCATGCTTCACGTTTGCTTCGCTTCTTTGACCTGCTTTGTTCCATGTACTCTCATCTACTTTTTGTCTTCTCGTCTCTCGCTACGCATCTGTTTCTTCTTTCTCATTGTGCACGTCATCAAGCCTCTCCACTCCGTGCACTTCAACCCGGTCGACGAGCGTGCGAAGAGTCCTCCGGAAAGCTCAAGAGTGTCACCTAGTGTATGACCGTCGAGCTCTGTGTCCCTAATAAGATTGAAGAGCAGGAGAGCTGGCTCGACTGTCACGTTGAACAGTTTGCTGCTCATGGTACACGTTGACAGCGGGTACGTTCACACCCGGTACGCTCCTCTTCATCTCATTTCTTCTTTTTCCTTTTCTTTTTGTTTCGTTCCGTTTCGGTCCATTCTTAGCCCTTGCTACAATAATGTGCCCCAATCTTAAAGGGATCGACCTCAAGCACTACGGCCCACCAACTCCTCACGCGGCCTTCCAAAATATGTACGGCTCCGTTCTCAGTTTTGCCCGGAAGAACCCGATGACAGCAGGAGACGCTGGACAATCCGTCGGAGATGCAAAATGCGAATGATATCATGGCGGATATCGTGCGTTTTTCTTTATTTAACTTTGTCCTCCTGCTTTTGCTTCAATGTGCTCGCGTTTTGTTTGTTTTGTAAAAGTGGCGTACTTATGCGATCCCGATGTGGCGGCGTGGTGTTATGTATACCTCAGTGACTACGATGAGAGAGCGTGTACGTCGATGCGAACACGCGCATTCAAGTTGTCGACGCGATGATGATGCTCCCTCACGCTGATCACGAACAACACGCCGCCCTCATCGTAAGTCTCGTCCAACCCCCCTAAAGTCAAAATAGTCCAATCCAACTCAAACTCCCAACCCAACAGTGAGACGAGCGCGTCCCGGTCGTCTGGTCCGACTCCCTCGGAGCCATCATCCCAGCATGTTCCAACTTCGAAGAACGCCTCATCAGGCTCCTTTAGTGCGGCCGTTCCAGTCCTGGCTACCACATATCCTCCACCTCATACGCCAGTCTTTCGCGGCCGACTCCACCTCCGCGACGCACTCCCTCGTTGAGATCACCTCGCGGTCGTCCCATGCCGGCGGGCGTCCGTCTGGTCTCCACTGCGACAGCGAGAAGAACAGGTATATGAGTGAGGTGACGAATAGGACGGTGACGAAAAGGAGGTGGTACGGGAGGAGGTATATGAATGAGGCTACGGAGAGTTGATCTGGGGAGCTGGCCAGTTTATAAAGGGCTGGCGATGGGTCACACGGGTTCGGCTGGGTCGCGCTTCAGGCGGCGAAGAAAGCATTCAACATGAATCACGACCTCACCCTCTCGTGCACAGCCGAGCGAGCTCTTATCGCGTTCCAAGAAAAAAGAGCGGATACCCGTAGAGTGAGTATGGGCTCTGGGGGCTGGCGGGCGATATCGAGGAACGGGCGCTGCAGATGGCGGTGGAGCAGGTGTATGAGGAGAGTGGGAGGCAAGGTGTGTAGAATGAGAGAGATCATGTTGGTTGTGGAACGGATACGATGGCGCTGGAGGATTGTTTCAGGGATTCGGCGAGAAGGGTGGCGGAGTGTTCGACTGTGAGGGTCACTCAGAGCGAGTCCGGTATGTCCTATTCTCTCAGAGAAGGTCTTAATGACGCTCGGTGTACTGATTGTTCTGAGTATGTGTTCGAACTTCGACAGACGTCATGCAGGTCTTGCACAACGACTTTGAGAACGTTGTCGCATACGTCAGCCGTCGTATCAACAAGCGTATCTCCCTCGCCTGCTGCAACGGCGAAGTCGCGCCCTTCGTCAGCCACAACGCTTTTCTCTGCTGGCAAGCCATCCAAAACGCATTCTTCATTGACCTCACAAAACGATCCACAAGATCTGGTCAAAATTGCACGTGTCTGGGAGTTGCAGCTCTGTGGTTATTTCATTCATTAGGCGATGCATTTTCTTGGTGAGTGTGTTGTTTACGATTGACGACGAGCTTGATAGATGGTAGAAGCATTCGTACGGTTGCTCGCAGTGAGTGTCGTCTTTCGGCTTATCGTTTGATCCTTGGTGATCTGATGCTGGCTGTGTTCTTTCATTCAGGATGCTCTTCAGCCCGTTCATCCACTGGTTCACTCATGGTTTTATTATTCCTTAGATCTATAGGGCCATGTGGTCCGATTCATTCTCACCTACTAGCTCCTCGGCTTGCAGTTCTCCATTGACATTTTTCATACGCATTCATTCGAGATCTGGTAGGCTACAACCGTCGTTTTTTTTATTAGTTTCGGTTTCCGATGGCGTGTCTCAATATTTACAGTAAAATGCACTGTGAACACCCTTGCCCGATGCAGACTCTCGATCTCGTCCACCCGGGGTCGAGCGCCGCTGAATAACTGTTCTGACCAGTAAAGCGCGAGGCTTTCCTTACTGTTACAAGAGTCTGACCTGAGTGCTCCATCTGACGGGAATCGTTCCCATGCCATGCGATAGCATGGCTATATAAAAAAAACTGCAGTCGTTCGTCCACATGTTGGTGTGCACCCCAAAATACTAGAATGTCAATAAAAAAAAGGGAGGGAATCGTACTGCCATCTGGGCCTTTCACTTGTCCACATCTTGAGTCCTGTGACGGTTCCCATGTTCGAAAGAGGCTCCGGTGATAGTTCTGACGAATCTGGCACCTCACGAAACAATCGACGATCTCAAATCCTGTACGACTGTTCTCGAACAACACGTTAGCCTTTCTAGCCCCATTCCTGGAGTGACCGAAGTCACCGACTCTAAAATCATCTTCGGACGCATCTTCTATGACTGGGATCCGTATCAGCACCAATGGTCACTGGCAACCTCCTCGAGCCTCCTCGAAGTCCGGACGAATCCACAACATGCTTCTTCTTCTCTTACTGGCCCTTTATAGTCCAGAGGCACGGGTAGTAACCTCGAGGTTATACGTCTCCTCAACAGCCCACAGCGTCCAGGCACAACTAGATCATGTCAGAATGCTCAACCGCGGCGATGAAAACCAAAGGGGCCGGGCAGGTTACGAGCCTTAGCCCGCTCCTCCTGCCCCCGAATCTCTGAATCTCTCAAAGAGCTGTCCTCAACAATGTGCCTCTCCGAAGACGTCAAGTCCACGATCGTGGCCTCCAAGGTCTCCTTGTCGTCTCTCCATGCCTCCCTCTCTTCATCAGCCTTGTTTCGCATCCGGCTGCATTTTCTTCGATTCCTCGAGCTGTTGCTTGACAGCCTCAACATTCGCCTGGAGGGCGGCATATTCGGTCTACATATCACGAATATGAGATGAGTGATTAGACAGGCGATGATAGGCCCGAACGGCTCGATGGCCGTAGTCCCTGCATGGCTAAGGCAACTTCGGTGCTAGCTTTGTACTTGTCGTGCGACGAAATCAAAGACGCGCAATATGCATTCTCGCGTTGTCGATATGCGCTTCCGCAACCTTCAGCGGAGCACTAAACACTCAAATCCACAGGCAACAATCATTAGGACCTCCATCCCATTAATCCGGAATAAGAGCGTGAAGAAACGCACCGAAGCCCAGCGACCTCAGTCTCAAGCTGCTCCTTCAACATCCTATTGTCCACCTGAACCCGATGTCCAACCACATTCACAGCCATCACCGACGAAGACGCGATGGGCACTCTGCGCTCATGGACCGCCAACTGCTTCTCGTTTCCTTGCAGCTGACGAGAAAGGGCAGAAACTTTCTCTTCGAAGTGACACTTGATCGTTTCTGCACGTGAGTGGTAGAAAGTTACTGCGTCTGTGGTACAAGAAGGGACATACTGAGGCCCAGTGTACGGGAACAACGTAAGGCATAACGCGCACGTCGTTCCGTTGTTAGGTGCGCTATGTGACGCATAACGGAGCTCCCGTTGCTCACGAATCTTTTCGTTGCGTCCGTAACGCAGGATTCCGATCCGTTACTAGCTCCTTGGACGTAACGCACAACCAGGTCATTGCTCCCATACACTGGGCCTCCGTATGTCAAATATGGATACACAAGAAGTTGCATGGAGGCTTGATGGGGGCGAACCTGTTTGTCCAAGCGCGATTGGAGTTCCTTCACCTCTTCTAGCCTCCTCTGTAGCATACGTCTCTGGGCAGAGTCCCTCTCGAGACCGAGCTGGTTACAAATATTCAAGCTGTTTGAGAAAGCAACGATGACCTAAGTCGATCCACACTGCTAAAGGGTGAGAACAAATACACACGTCTGAACTTCAAGCATCTAACACTGGCTCTCCTGTCTATCGTTCTCGCCTGATCGCTTGAGGTCATTATGCATCTTCTCCAACTCAACTTCTTCGTGGCTTCGAGCGCGGCTTTGGGGTGAGAGTCGCGGGCCTCCAGAGCGGCGGACACCTCGGAGGAGAAGGAAAGGGGGCGTAATTCTGATAGCAGGCGGTCGTATTGCATGCCTTGTTCAGCGAGTATGGCAGCCTGAATAGGAGAGAGTCATACATCGGTCGAATTATCTTCGATACAGAAACCGGTGGGAGAAAGAGAAGAAAACTCCTACCACTCACCTCGATCTAGTTCAACACGCCATGAAGCGCCTTCTTCGCTTCTCATACTGCATACACTTGCGCGCACGCGTATCCTGAGCCTGACATCGTCCTTAATGAGTGTCACTCCCGCATGATCCCGCGCCCTGCTGACTATCGCGATCGTCGAACTGAAACCCATCTCCGTCGCACTCGACCTTCCACTTCTAATCGGTGCTGCACGCATAACCAAGGTCAATCACCGAGCCCAAAGGCAACACGCCCAGTCCCATTGGGCGATGGTAGCCTCAGCACTCGGAACGGGGAAGTCTCTGCAAGAAATAGGGGAGGCTTGATTGAACGGCGCTGTATCCGCTTTGGGAATAAGATAGTTAGGAACGAAGAGTCGTGAGTTGCGTGGGGATGGACGTGCGGTAGGCCGTGTGCATAGATCGTTGGGTCGTGAGAGTGTTGGCGAGGCGTTCGCATTCGTCTTTAGGGAGTTGGAGATGTTGGGTTAGCGAATCGGGTTTGAATTGGGTGGAGTCAGTATTGGCCAATGTGAGGAGAGAGGACCTACCTTAGTAGACGTTTCGTTGGAGTGATTCTTTGTCGTCTATCAGATGTGGATGAAGCGACTGGGAAATATGTTCGGAAGGCTGCTACAAGCCTGGATGCTCTACTGTGGGGGGCGCAGACAATGATTGCGGGAGCGAATCGTAAAAACGCGATCGAGATGGCGGTATTGCTGTCTAGTGGGAAGGTGAGCACATCGACGGTCAACATGACGATTTATTGGGTTGTGTACAATGTTGCCGAGAGCGAAGAACTCACCTCACGTTTTGCGGTTTTCGGCATCGAGCTCTGGTAACAGATCGAAAGGGCTGAAGGCAGTGAAACCTTCTCTAATACCGACCAACTCCTTCGATTGCTGAAGCGCGTTAGAACTCAGATGGAGGGCGGAACAAAAATCCTTCGGATCCCGGTTTTTGTCAGCGGGTCGAAGCCTTTTGCTGCAGTGAAGGTTGACTCTGACTCAAAACCTATCCAAACGGAAAGCGTCAGCGGTACCCAACGATTGACCGTACTTCTCACAGGCGACACGTTACATACTAAACCTCCGCTTTCAACTACCCAGCATCATACGTCGCAAATTCCGTTGGTTCGTAGGCGGTACGTACAATGAGCGAGGATTTTGAGTGGGCAGGATGCTCACTGGCACATCAGCAAAACAGCATGGATCTACCGGGTCTACCGGGTCTACGGGTGTAGATCCATTAGAGCGCGTAGTCCTCGTAGAGTGCTGTAGACTCAGTAAGTCCTTGAGCACAGGGTCATATTATGCTCATGTGTGTGCAGCCCATCGCCGTTTCATATTGCTTATGCATTACAATATAAGCAAAGTTTATAAAAGTTGGGTTGGCCCATTGAATCCGTAGCAGCGATGAAAGTGTAATATGGTAATCGTGTGAAGGACAAAATAAGAGTGTCATAAAGAGACGACAGCGGGGAGGGAGAGGGCTGGAATATCAACACCATCGGAGATCATTATTATGAAAAAAAGTGGGAGGAGGGCAGGAAAGGGACAGAAACAAGAGGCGAGAGGCGAGGGAGCGGGCTAGATGCACTCAATGGTGCTTGCTACTTGTCAGAGTGCGCCCACCAACATGTCGAGGGGTTCACAGACATGTCAGCCGCAAACGAAACTGAAGATGTCAAAGAGGATCACTGATGCGGGACCTTGGCGATAGAAAATGAGCACAAGAGCGAGAACGAGCCTGCGGCGGACAAAGGGGGATGAGTCAGCAATGTAGAAAAGATATGACTAGAAAGTCCCATTGCTCGATGTCGATGTGTTGAGGTTTTGAAAGTACTGATATTGAGGCACCTCGTCATGACTAGTCTTCGCCGTTCAATGGAGCGTAGGGGTCGGTAGACGATGTGGCATCCGAGGACCGAGATTGAACGATGAAGGTCGAAGCCATGCTGAATAAAAAAAAAACGCACCCATCAGGTTTTCTCGCCCCTGGTTCTGCATCCATTACGATCCCGCCAGCTTCCTCCAGCAGTCCTTCAACCGTCGGGTTGTCGTGAAGCGCGTGCGTGAGTGGATGTCGACGAGGAGGCCATGTTGAGGGAAACGGCGCAGCACGACGAAAGCTTGTACCCGCGCAGCCGTCACATGCACCCGCTTTAGAGACTAGCTGCACTCAAAGTTGAAATCAGCTGGGCTGACTCGGGCGAGTTATTAGGGGTTACGCACTGGTCACTCCCATGCTTCGGGCCGCCACACGAGCTTCTTCCTGTCGCGACTACTCAATATACATGCGGACAGCTTACTCATAAGACTCAGAAAAAGTATACGCTGTGTCAACGCCCACTATGGAAAGTACTTCTATCGAGGAGCTGAATATTTTAAGAGAGGTAATGACAGAGATGCGTATCTCCAGGTATCCCCTGTCTGGGTGTGGCGACTCGGTCACAGCGCGTCACCGCTGCTCGATGGTGACCGCGAACGACCGGCGTTGGGCAGCTCAGCCCAGCTAACAAAAAGTTAGCCCAGCTGATTTCAACTTTGAGCCACCCTACTCGGTCACCAGTCTGACGCGCGCGTCGTTGACTCGAGTTGACTCGTTTACTCGAGTATTCCGAAGATAAGCACGTGACTGACCGTGAGATAGAATTTGGGCTGACTTTCAATTGTAGACGCGTCGTGTCCGCACCGACGCGACTTGATCTTGCATCTCATATTTTACTTCCATCTCCCCCTCTCATTGTTCCGCTGTTTCCGCTCTCTCTCTGCTCGCTGCCCGCTGCACGTTCAAGTCGTTGTCTTACGCACGTACTTATTTCACCCTTCCTTTTGTCACTCCACATCAACTAGAACATCTAATGTTGGACTCGACACTGACATATGCTCTCCCGCATCAACTGTGTCAGGTTATCTAACACTTCCGAAGGAGCTGTGGCAGGAATCATGTGGAGTAGGCTCCATGACCGAGACTAGTACGGTGCGTGCGTCCACGGGCACACTGCTTGCTTTGCCTGAACGTCTCTCACTCGTCGTTCGGCAGATTCTGCTTGTATTGCAGCTCGGGGACTTCATAGGCTTGATTGTGAGTATCATCTTTTTGATGAGCAGATGGTGCATTGATGTTTGGTGTTTGGTAATGGTAGGGCTGGGAACACACCGTTTGAGGTCAATTGTAATTCTTCAGCACCTATCACTGGTGCGTGCGCCGTCTTTTTCTTCATCCCCACCGATGTCGTTTTCATGATGATTCCCATAGGTAACCTCTATACCTCACTCACCTCTGCTCTCTTGCCCAACGACGAGACTAAGCAGTCCATGTTGGACGATATGGTCAGGAAGGGAGAGGCGGCGGGTAGAGATGCGTGCGCGGTTGGTTCACGGTTCACGCTGCCCCTATGGGCAAGAGCACCGTCTGGGAGGGTTACGAGATACGGCGGTGTAAGAATCTTCTTATCTGTTGTCTCGGTTCCTTACCTTTCTTTGCAAAGGCTCCGCGCTGACTCTTCTCTTGATCGTGTCTGTAGATATGTCGGGGGGTTTCTTTTTTCGCCCAGAGATGTCGGCTCCGCGAAACTCATCATTTGTGTCGGTTGCCTCAAGTCCGACTTCAACACCGACAACTTCACATACCCCACCCCCAAACAGCGCACCATCGAGCTCCACTCTGACCACACCCTCGCCAAGTACGCCAAGTACAAGGCCATCGGCATGTAGCAGCTCGTCCCGAAATTCGTTCCGTCTTGCCGTCTGCGCCTCCAAGTTGTCCGTCCCCCAGTTTGAGGCGAGGTTCCCCACTAAGGATCCCCTCTGTGAGGAGACGACCAGCCATGTGTGGATGTGGCCGAGGATAGGCCAGTTCTTCAGGGAGAAGGACGTGATTGTGAGTGAGACGGGTACGTTTAGCTTTGGTGTTATGGATGTGCCGTCGCCCGAGGATGCAATCAATGTCAGCCAAATTCCCTGAGGAAGTTTCGGATGGACGGCCGGTGCGTACATCGATTTTTTTCACCCCGTCCTCCCTTTTGTCTCCGGCCCTCTTTTTACTTACAGTGACTGTCTTCCGTGATCTATAATAGGCTCCACGCCCGGTGCTGCCCTCGCTGTCCACCACCAGAACTTCAGGGCTATCACATAAGGTAAGATGCGACGGTGTCCAATGCCTTGGGCCAACAAGGGATGGGGAACGCGAAGGAGGATCGGTGAAATGATCTTACATTTATGTGCCACTATCTAGTTCCTTTGTGGATTCAGTAGGTATCAGGCTGATACCGGATTTAATGTGCTTATGACATTGCTTTTATGTGGTTATGGTTATTTGTTCTATGCGGTTTGGGACTGTATTTACGGGAATCGTTCCCATGCCATGTGAAAGCATGGCTATATCAAAAACAACATGCTCCAATGAGTGTCGAGATGAAGGTGAGTCAAAAGACTGCATGAAAAAGTAAAGGTGGAATCGTACCGCCAGGCAGGCCCTCCACTTGTCTTTTAGTGGGAAGGCTTTCCTGATGGGATTGCAGAACTTGTCATACGATAGCATTGAGAACGTGCTGACGATCAGATCGTGCGTAAGACACGACTGCTCCGAACAGAATCATAATATAAATACAAGCCAATGAGAAGCGTGAGGCAGGTCTACTTGACTATCTCACGAGTGAACGAAGAAGTTCATAACATATATAAATGCGAACACAACAACATTATAAAGGATGGCATCGGAGTCGCAAGCCTGTCAGCACGCCCACACATCATGGCATCCACCATCGACTCAGACCCAGCACACGAAGGGTTGCCTATTACCCACGCTGAGCTTCTTGCTCGCATCGTCGCGGTCGAATCCCGACTTCGACGCACTGTCGAGAACCAGATCCGATTTGAAGGAATGGTCTCGCGGCTGTTGTCAGAGATAAATGCTATCAATGACAGATGCTCGGAGACGGACAAGATCTGTACAGATAATTGTCGGGATATAGTGATCATTGATAACAACGTCTCTACTCTGAATGCTCGTGTGGAGGAAGGGTACGATGATCTCAAGGCTCACTGCGCCCGAATCGCAACGCTATACCATCGTCGATATCGACAGGTATGCGACGGCATGTCTGCTTTGCATGCCACTATGACTGGCGTACTAGTGAGTGTGATATATCTGTACTGACATAGTATTGTGCTTATCCCATAAATCTGTTTGGTCAGGATTCGTTCTCGGCTCACTATAAGCAAGACCAGGCACCAACTGGCGTTCAAGAAAAGTGAGTATGCGCTCATATTTCTTTCTCTTAGTCAGGCCTGACATTCAAATGCAGGGACTAATTCGTCTTACCCAAATTCAACACTGGTCAGAGGAGGGGGGCGGTGGGTCGAGGACGGCCTTATCCACGAGCGTATCCGAAGCTGCCTCAGGACCTTCTTCGTTCCGACATTCTCCGTCACTAGCAGTTTGGATGGGTTGTGTATGTTCACAAATTAAGGCTGTTTTCTATACGGTCTATCAGGGCTCCACGATGTACTTCTTGATACTCAGCCAAGCGACCGAGGGTTCGGACGTACCCGTGCCAGCCATAACATTGCGGCTGGTGCTGCCTTGTCGAGTCGCCATGGCGTTGGCCCTACACCACCCATCCTGCCATCGAAGCCATACAGCGCCTATATGTCTCTCTCGAGAAACGCTCGACCTCGCCATTGTTCGCTCTCAACTAGTACGTCAAGCGCCAACGGTCAGATACCTAGTGCCTGATCAAAGTAAACGTTTTGCGTTGCAAGTCGTCCGGTGAGATTGCGTCTATGTTGATGAGGTACGTGTTCCGATGGACTGTCCCTGATTTGTACTCTCTTCGACTCGACGAAGGGAGTTGGGCTAATGAGAAAGGGAGGCCGCGTGAACACCTTCAGAAGTATAGTACAAAGAAGTGGGACGATCTTGTGGTGAATAATGAGCTGAAGGGGTGGAACGAATTGGGAACGAAACTGAGAAAGGACGACGCTTCTTGGCTCCTCTTGGATTTCCTCTGCTCTCGACATCTATGGCCCTGATGCGCAGTCCACCCTTTTCTCGACCCCTACCGCGACC